AGTACGAGTTCCACCGTGGTACCAGTGCTGCGATAACGGCTCGAAAGGTTAAGGATGTGTATGGCGGTTGTGTCGCAAAAGAAAACACAGTGCATTTTTGGTTCCAACATTTTCGTTCTGGAAATTTCGACCTGCAGAACAAACCCCGTGGACGGCCCGAGACACAAGTTAATAATGAAGAACTGAAGGCTATTGTGGAAGCCGATCCATAGCAAACTACGTTAGCTGCAGGCTGCGGTGTTAGTGATAAAACTGTTTTAATCCACTTGAAGCAAATTGGAAAAATTAAAAAGCTTTAAAATTGGGTACCTCACGAATTGAGTGAAGCAAACCTATAAACGCATTTCGATTGCTGCGTTACATTACTTAACCGGCAATAATTAAGGGTTTTTAAATCGAATCATTACCTGTGATGAAAAGTGGATTCTCTATGATAATCGGAAGCGCTCATCTCAGTGGTTGGACCCTGGCATGCCAGTCAAATCCTGCCCGAGCGAAAATTGACCCCAAAAACAGCTACTTGTAAGCGTTTGGTGGACTAGTGCCGGTGTCGTTCATTGCAGTTTTCTCAAATCTAGCCAGACGATTACGGCAGACGTCTTTTGTTAGCAATTGTATACCATGCTGGAAAAACTAACTGATAAACAACCGAGGCTGGTCAATTGCTACTTCACGACAATGCTAGACCATACACTGCACAACAGACGGCTACCAAATTAGAAGAGCTTCAATTGGAATATCTAAGACATCCTTACTCCCCGGACCTTGCTCCAACAGATTACTATTTTTTTCGAAATTTGGATAACTTCTTGCAAGGAAAAAAATCAACTATGGGGCAGTGCAAATCGCCTTCAAAGATTTTATTGATTCCCGTCCGAATGGTTTTTTTAGTAAGAAGATCAATTAACTACCTATGAAATAGCAAAAGTGCATAGATAACAATGGTTTATACTTTGATTAAATAAATATATTATATTAAAAGATATTCGACTTTTTGTTGCTCCCATACCAAACACCAATTACATATGTGAGGACCTAATATATTTATTTACTGCCAAACTAAGTTAAATATTGGACTTAATTTTTAAACAAAATATTGGAAAAAGTAACAATTTTAGTTTAACAGCAATTAAAAAGACAATAAATCCATAGATTAAATTCGACAGCCGGTCGAATCAAACGGTGATAACTATACCTTGGTCTAGAACCAAAAGGTGTAATTTTTAAAATAGTCCATTTATTATTGACTTATTTTAAAACGTGGGCAAATAGTTTAATATCTATCTCATATTCACTATAAATATATAAATAAAAATCCAAAATGATCGATTAAATCAACAAAAATTTCCTCAATTTACAGAGAAAAAAAATTATAAGTATAAAACTCACCTTTCGTTCGTAACCTCATTAAATCGACTACTCGACAGTTGTAAAAACGAATCATCAAATAACTGTAATATTTTTTTGTTTTAAAGTAAATTGTAATACTTAATTTATACAAAATTAACTCGCTATTTATAATCTGCGGAACGGAAACGCGGGCAACCGTCACAAAGCATTGGGCGACGTCACAATTAAATAAACTAAACGTCGACGGTGTACGGCGCGAGGGCGACCGGTACTCGCGTTTATTGAAATGTGACGTCACGGCTCGAAACGTCCCGTGACCGATCGTCTTCGCGAGAAAATTTAAATCGACGAATAAAAATATGTTCCTCCTATACTCGATAACACTTTTAGGAAAAGAATAATTCTGAGAGACGTCAAATACGATCATATGAAAGTTCTAAAATACTTTTCCCAAAACTGTCAAGCGGTCGTACAAACGTTCCACCTATGTGAGTACATACTGGTTGTAGGGGTCGTAGTACATGCGGGCGCGGCCCCTGGCGCGGCCCCGGCCCCGCCCCCGCGCGCGCCGCGTGTACTCCGCGGGGGGCGGGTAGCACGCGCCCGCGCCCCGCCCCCGCCCCCGCGCCGCGCATCGACAGGTACGCTGACCACGACATCACATACGATCAAGCCAAATTCACATTACGAAAGTAGTTGCATGAAACTAAAACAGGTTTCCCGAAACTAATTTCAGCACATATGCCTATCATTTAGTAATGGCGTGCGATCGAAGGTATCTCCGGGAGGGAAACAAATGAAATGATAATCCTCTCAGAGATACTGCTGAGTGTCCCCGAGACACCGTTCGTTGAACGCCATTACGAAAGTACATGCGTCAAAATAAGTTTCATGACACTTATTTCGTAATGTGAATTCGGTTCAATTTAACTAATCAGGAGTCTCACTCAGGTTGAGTGAGAGAACAGTTATTATTATTATTATCGATGAACATGTTTATAATCAAACATTTTTTTTTATAATGTGATCGAAATATGATTTGAAAAGTAAAACGATTAAAAAATCGCTAGGTCGACAAAAATATGCCGGTGTGGTGACTTATATGCGAACCACTATACTCTGTTGTAGTACATTCTACAAGCAACTGATCTGATTGAAATTTAGTGATTTCAATACTAGTGAATCAAATATTCACTGACTATAAAATTCAAATAAAGTATACTATACTATAATATTGTAGCCATAACAGTTTAAAAAAAAAGCAATATGGTATTTTTGCAGTAATTAATTGAGAAAATGTCATGCAAACATTTTTAACCAATAGACGAGAATTTGAATGAAGTAGGAACTGTCAATAGCTAACAATAATAGTACTGTAACGTTGTGCCGTACCACCGTTTATTTCGTCCTAGGTTTCCACATGCAAACTTTTTGTCTTTGATCTTCAACATTGTTTCTTTTTATTATTCACTATTCGTAATTCGAAATTTTGACTTATCAAATATGCTCTTTATGGATGTCAGTTCGTGAAAATTCTTTAACCCATACATAACATAAGGTTTTATTTAAAAATATTTATATAATCCCTTAAAATTTTAAATGTGTAAAGTGAATAAGTTATAAAGTTTCATTGTGTTAAATAAAATATATATTTAAAAGGAAATCCAAAAAGGATTTTCTTTTTCTTTTTTCTCTTATTACCGTAAATAAATCAAGTTCTCAAGCTTAATCAGCCTTTTATTCATTTGCCTAAGCATCGAACCCGTCACAGTAGTATAACTTTTAGGAGTTCTTGCTTCATTTGAATTATTGTTTATTTATTATTTTTTATCAATTTTGAATTCAACAATGCTATACTAAAAAATTTATTAATGAAAAATGGTTTTAAAAATCCACTGAAAATGCTTAAAAAATGCCAGAAACAAAGTGGATTTTTTTAGGAATTTTTCAATTAAGATTATTGTTTATTTGTTGAAAATATTGGCTTACATTTTCTCAAGTAATTACTTCTCTCGACGATAGATACTAGTGTAAGATATGGTACTGAACACAAAGATTTTATTAATTATTCTAGGTTTAAATCCGCTTTTATACCTACAATATCATCTATCATCATCTATTATAATTTTCGTACATTAATGTTAGCATTGAGACGTCACGGTAATATATTACACGCGATAGTAACGTTATACATAAGATACATAGGATAGTAACGTTAAGATACTCATACTTTGCGGATGATACGCGAACGGCGGCACCGGAGCGAACGGATATCCGAACCCATACGCAGGCATCCCGTATAAACCTGCAACCACGCAAACACTATATGAATATCTTTAAGCAAAAAGATAATAAATTCAAAAATAAATAAATATTAGACAAAATCAGATAGGTACATTACTCAGATTCCAATATGAGTAGCTGAGGTACTTCTATTAAGGAGAATCTGAGACAACCGATACCACTTTCTAGATTAGTCCGACCGGGAATCAAATCCGGGACCTCAAAGATGGCACCACCAACGGATGGAGGTCGTCAAATTATATATGAATATTTACAAGTTTTGGACCTGGCAGCAAGGCCTTTTTGAGTCGCCATATCCTTTTCTGACGCTCAGAATTTGCTAGCGGATGCGCGATAGCACGCGATACCGTGTCACCAGATCACGCTAACCCTAATAATAATAATAAGAAAAACGAAACGTACCTCCAAGAACATTGTTGGCTCCTTACATGAAACAAAAAAGGAAAAATCATTGGCGTGCAAATTTACTTTGTATTTAAATATCAGTAAAATATAATTCTAGAGCTAAGTTTTGGATTCTGTAGTTGTGACATTAAAGAAATAAATATGAGTTCATTACATATATTACACTTGGGATCAAAAATGGCATTCGGGAAAAAATTATAATCAGTGCAAAGGAGGACTTTTTTTGTATGGAGGCTGGAACTTTATTCAAATTAACTCTAACCAAGCATAAAGTATAACGATGGGGGGTAAATAAACCTTACACACGATAATTTTATTTTATTTTTAGGCGCCGCCAAAATGTTTTTTTTTTCAGATTTGAACATCATTTGGTGGATATTTATAATTTATATGGCAACACATAAGTGCATTAGGAAAATCTATGGCAACCCTATCCGTAAGATACGTTCCAATTCATGTTGTGAATCAATCTATTTGGACAATGTGGAATTATTATTTTTATTTCAGACCTCTAAATATCAAATAGAGAGTAATGGTTAAATTTTTTTTGGAATAAAGTAGCAAAAAAACATTCTCATATTAAGTTAATCGCTGTGATTCATTTTGACACTATTTTCCTCTTATTAGTGTTTGTATCCAAAGGATATAAAACAGTGGCCTAATTGTCAATTTTTTAAATCTATAACAACCACTTTCAAACGTATAATAATTGTGATAGTGATTTATGGAATTGTGTAACATTTAAAATCACAAGTGAACAAATGATGATTTGAATGATATAAAATGTCAAGAAAATGCATTTCATTTTGTTGTTATGTTGTCAAGTAATCTTTACAACTTTGTATGATTTTAATTAAATGTCCTATTTCGTCTAAAGAATAAGAATGTTTTCTTCATATAAATAAAATAATAAAATATTAAATAATTTCATGCACATAAAACTAGGTTCTTTTTTCATATTTAGGCCACCATGTAAATATATATAAGGTTACATAACACAAAACCCATTCAGCAAAGAACATTTTAATATATATATTAAGTGTCTCACCTTTATAGTGCATGTCCCGCTCTGGCGTGGTGAGTCTCTCGGACTTGATCCTCTTGTGCCTGGCCTCCTCCATCGAGGAATCAGAACTCAACGACGAATTACGCTTTGGCTTCTTCGTTTCCAATGCAGATCGAATCACTATACGCCCTGCATAACAAAACAATAACATATGTATATATAAGGTAACCTAATAAAAATATATTTTCATTTTTTGAAAAGGCTGAAATAAAATGTGAAAAAATGTTTTCCATGTTTCTGAGAATGGATGTTTGTTACTCTTTCAAGCAAACTAATGAACGGATTTGGATGAAATATGGGATACGGATAATTGTAAGACCGTATTATACAAGCAATTTTTTATCCCACTAAACTGTTCCCTATTGACCTAAAACACCCTAACATTACCGCAAATTAGACGTCTGTATGCCCTCATAAACCAAATAGCGGTATCTCAAAAAAGCTTCTGATTTTTATTACGACATCCGAGTGGTTCGCACGCCGGTTTCAAGATGTCGCCATCTCTGAGGTCCAGGGTTCGATTCCCGGTCAGGCCAATGTAATAAACAAACTTTTATACAGGAACATTTTTTCCAGAGCGACATTTTTTTCTTTTTGGTAATTCGGGATCAGTAATAGAACACTTTTCCATAATGTCAATATAGTCACCATCTAGGGCACTCTTGAGGTAGTTCCTCTGTGCATCGAGCACATCCTCCTGTTGTTGTTTCAAGCGGTCCACTATGCGAGCCCGCGCGCTCCTCTCGCCCGCCGCGTAGTACCGCTCCGGTTTCTGCCCGTTGGGCCGCAAATCCGGACGTAGCTGTCAAACGTACATATAATAAGCAATGTGATGTGTGAATGTCAATTAAATTTTTCGGAGTCTAATTCTTAAAATTATTTAAAGTGGATTTTGTAGATGGGAATCAAAACTTTAACCATAACCCACTACATTCACAAATTTTGAAGGAAAATGTACAGTCAGCAAAAAAATGCTAAAATAAAAAAATGCCAATTGAATCTATTTCATTCAGGGGCAACTGACTATGACATTGATTTAAAAATGAGTATTACAATGACAGAACTCACAAAAAAGCATACATTTATCGCTAAAAAACAAAAATCCAACTGAAAATTTTCTTTACACTAGACTCAAATATTTATCTTTCTTTTTTATCTCAATAAAGTTTCGCCTCATATATCATAAATAAAAATTACAAAAACATACCTCAATTCTTTTGAAAAGTTCTTCAAGCAATCTTATAGCTTGAAGTTTCTTCTGTTCTTTTAAAAGTTTTCGCCTTTCTTCAGCAACACGGCTGTTTAAATCGACATTGTCTCTTTCCATCAACTTAGCAAGTTGTTTCTTCTTACGTCTCTCTTCTCTTTCTCTCATTTTCTCTAGCTTCTCAAGCTCAGTGCGCTCATACTTTTGTCTAAAACATATATATCATATTTTATCAATTTTGCATTCACGCAGTGTGAATGCAAAATTGATAAAATATACTGGAAAATATTCTTAATGGAAATACTTATAAAATCCACCAGCCCCAGGTACCCTTGAGATGGGATTTGAGTCCCAAAATATATGTAGATCATAAGAATAAAACTATCCAATAGCAAAACAGGTTCCACTATCTATGTGACGACCTCCGTAGCCACAGTACAAATATAAAAGTATGTGCACTCAAGACCCGAGGGAGAGATAATAGCCTAAACATGTTGTGATGTCGCTTATAGGTTATTCAATCTGCCTACATTGGAGCCGACAATATTTTTTTTCATACCTACGTCATGTCATCAATTTAGTGTTTTGTAAAGTTAAAACGTGATTTTAATGAATTATGTATTTATTCATTTTTTCGAAATAATCAGCCTACGTACAAAATAAGATGGCGATCTTAATTTTTAATAATCATGTGCTTTGTAAATTTTTAATAATCAAGTGTTTGCGTACGACAATGCATACGTAGAGGCGCGCTCACATACAAGCCATTTTCGGTGGGTATGTATGAAAAGCACTTACTCTTTTTACTCTGCCATAGCCGAGTGGTTTGTATGCCGGTTTCTAGGTTTCGTCATCTCTGAGGTCCCAGGTTCAATTCCCTGTTGGGTCAATGTAGAAAATTAACTATTCTATATTGTCACAGGTCTGGGTGTTGTGGTACCTTTGTTGTCTCTGATACTCCATAATATGAAGGCTTTATGTGTAGGTGATGTTGTTAAATATGTTATGTACCTATTTATCACAGTAATGCATATTTAATATCTATTCAAATTTAATTCAAAGATGTATACAATAAACAATATTTTATACTGCGTACCTTTCTTTTGCTTCTCGCTTAGAAATTCTTTCCTTTTCCTTTCGCTCTTCCTCTTCTTTAGCATTTTGCCGTGCCACTAACCTTTCACGTACAATAGATCTACGTTTTACAGCCGCATCAGTCATGTGCTTACTTTTGTCAAAGTCCACATGAATATTGCACCACTCAGCTATGTCATCTCTTTTTCTTAATAACTTTCGCCCTCGCAGTGCGTCCATACAACGGACGAAACTGACATATTCACTGAACTGAATGTAACCCTCAAAATATACCTGAGAATCTTGAGGTGGCACAGTTATTCCCCTCATTGAAGATTTCATTTGCATCCTAAACGGGTCAGCTGCAGGAACGTCTACTTGCCTTATTGCACCAAACTTTTCAAACACTTTCTTGAAAAGGTTTTCAGAGGGTGGAGAATCTTCATTTAGATCTCTTTCATGGACAAACCACCTGATGGGTAAGTTAGCAATATGTACTGTATCAGGCCTCTCACCAGGCTTCATCTCATCCATATCAGTGGCATCGCGAAAAAAAGAATCCCATACATGCCGACTTGGAAAATCCGATTTAGCTTCTGTTACTTTCACTTTCAGCGGATCCGGATAATCATTTAATTGCACAATACGATCTTCGAGTCTTGATGATACTCTATCTAATTTTTCACGATTTTCTAACTCTGCTTCGAATCGTATCACTTCAGAACTGTGCTTCGTCACTTTTAACACGGAAAACGAATCAGGTTGGATCATCTTCCGTAATTTCTCCATCAGATCCCAATTTGAAATGGATTTGCCGTGAACCTTGTGGGTAGGGAGCTGGACAGAAATATTAAGCTTTGCGAAGGATTTTAAATATAGACGCTGAGGCAAATACAAAGCCACAGCGTCGGAGGGATCCCTACATACTTGAATACTCATTTTTAGTACTGAATCTACTGAACCATAAAAAACTAACCTACTCCATAACACTAACTATCCTTTAGTACTAAATTTCCTATAATAAATAAAAGACATTATGCAACAATCATATGATGATAGAAGACTAATACTAAAAATTATATCACAAAATATAAGAAATAAATTATTGAAAATGACCAAAGATTTGTTTAATGTCCGCTCCCATTTTCAGCGTTTGTTCCAGCTAAGATAAAAAGCAGTAGTTATTATTTTCGACACTACACAGCTTATTTTCACACTAGTTCCACTCGTAATTATAAAAATTTCAAATAAAGAAAGCAAGCCTGCGTCGAATTTATTTGACATTGATTGATATGGTTTTTTTTTTATAACGACAAAGAACCTATAGTCCATACAGCCACATCCAAGATTTTCTACTCAATACGTTTGTTACACAATTTATTCACTTTAGGCTGCTTAGTTTATCTTAGGGAAGTTCTAAATTAACTAAATTTTAAAAATAATCTTTTCGCGGCGCCACAAAAACTATTCATCTCCTAAACTACACATAGCTTCGCAGTTTATCCGTATTTCGTAACAAACTGATAGCCCTATGTAGTTTGCGCTTATAACCAAGGGACTTTATTGCAGGCAGGCGTTATTACATACGACTGTATTTCTGCCGATTGCTTTAAAAGCAATTACTTCAGCTATTTATTTGCGCCGACTCCCAGACCCAGTCTGGTAAATATGGAATCAAATGATGAGTTTTTTGTTTTTTTGAATACTTTTAGCTATAGCGCTTTTATGAGAAACTAAATTACTTGGCTCTCGCGTCTCTAGTTTGCGATAGGATTTTAAATCCAAATGATGAACTTTTTGGTTTTTTAAATACTTTTAGCTATAGCGCTTTTATCGGAAACTGCGATAGGATTTTAAATTCACTTGATTGGAATGATAGGATGTTAAATACACTCAATTGATTCACTACTTCATCACTAATAAGGAGTTAAAAAGAAAACAAAATTTAAAAGAATCTTTTAATTTTTAAATACTTACAGGATCAAAGTCCAAATGGACATCGCTTCAAGAGCTATTGCGTTGCAATTTACATCTGATTTATTTGTTATCAAATATCCGTTGCTTACAGCTATGTCATAAATAAATAAACATACAATGTACACAGCTTTGCATATAATAAAATTTTATATCAAAGAATTTCACTCGCGATAAATAGAAAGGCCCTAAATTTTATTTTCTGCCAAACTACGTTATTAATGAAGAAAAACCCCATTTTTGTCAATTTGTATTACTTTCTTACGAAGAATACTCACATATAAACTGCTTAAAATAAAAGGGATAGCTATCCATCAGTTTTAAAATTATAGTGTGCATCCATAATGTACTGGTCCATGCTTAATTGAATTTATTATGTATAGAAAATGTTTCCAAATAAAGAAATAATTGCACTATCACACAATAATTTTAAAGATTCTCAAAGGGTTTGCTTCCCCACTAAAATATAACATAAATAATTACAACTACTTTATAGCCAAAGTTTACAAAAATGTAGAAATATTTAGTTATGATTTAAGTCTACAGAAAAAATAAATAAGGTAAACGTTTCTTCTACACCTATTTTGTAAACTTTGTAATCAGGTATCTAGGCTTTATCTCAAATACATGAAATATAGGAACCCAAACAATGAATATTTCATTCATAGGACAACTGCACTCAATAATTTCACTGGCATATAGTAAGCTGTCATTTAGTAGCAATATTTATTTTTAATAGACGTAAACAACGATCTATGATTAATAGTCGCCGTCAGCAATGAAGCAGAGATGAAAAGAGGCTTTCAGGCTATAATCCATATTTCGCCAAAGGAATTTGATAGACAATATAAAGATTGTTTCTCTGATGGCTGGAAATAAATGTTTAACAAATGTTATTTTTATTTGTTTGATGTCATCAAGGAACCCTATTTTTATCAGATAATAAAAAGAGCTTATGATGCATGTGGGTACTTTGCAATTTGCTATACATCAGTGCACTAGCAGATGCCAAACTCTATCAGTCTTATTATAAAACGAGGACTAAAGTTAGTATTAGGTTTAAGCCATTGACCACCTTAAAGCGTATTAACAATGACAGAAGAGAGAATGTCATATTGCAACATTTTAACTTAATTTGGTCAGATAATGGTCCATTTAGTACTAAAGTCAATCCTTGTTTTATAATAAGATAGTATCAGTCAAAGATCTCTTTACATCATCTGCAAATATTACACTGCTATTAAGTAATATTTCTTTCTATTAATATTTATTGATAAGTGTTCTAGTAAGAGATAGTTTAACAACTTAAAGTAAACGAGGCTGGATACATGCTCCCAAGTTCGAAAACATATATGAAAAAACCAATACCAATAGGGTATAATTTGTGACGTTTTGTTGATAGAGAATAGACTTTATAAAACTGTGATGATAATATTTAAGCGTTTCTTGAGACAGAACTCGAGCAATAATTAAATTAATGGAATTTTATAAAACAATTTTAGCAGCATGCTCAAACTTTATAAATTTTTTACATGCACATTGTTCAATGTATTGCTAAAACCACAAGACCTCTCGACATAGCATTAATATACAAATCTAAATATTTACAATTCTTGTACATTCTTATGAATAACTTCAAAGAAACTCTTCAACAACTAAACACATAGAAAAATTTACTGAACTAAAATTTCTACATTCACAACTTCTCTATAGCTTTCGTTCATGAAATAATTATAAAATAAAATTTCAGTCTTCTATTATTTAGTTAATGGTAGATCATATAAATTAGATCTTTCTTTCAATATACAATAATGTATGATACATATCGTACAATATTTTGAAAAATTGACATATATATAATAATCAGTATAGTATGTATTACATTATACACAAGCCTTCATTTCATGCGCACTGACAAAGAGCATTATCTAAACCATCACCTTACAGTATCTAACATAGATAAGGATCACTTGATTCAATACAATACTCATCTCGGAAGCCCTTATTATTAAATTGAGAAGTCTATAAATACATATCTGTTACACTGTGCTCTCGATGTAACTATTATAATACACATTTTACAGAGATCCATTCTAATGTCTTTATTTACCATAGGAATCATGTCACTAGTCTTTACCAGTGTTGAAGCATAATTGAAATCAATAAAATGCATTTTTATAGTGTCAACGCTCAAAGTCCAAAAGATTAAAATCACTAGTTCCCGGAGACCACAATGAGTCATCACAACGACGATAAGGATTGTACTTTTGCTGTTTTGGTGACTTTAAAGGATTCATATGAATTGATTTTCGTCGGTAACGATTTTGACTGAGAAGTGATAGAAATCACTGTAAATATTTAAAAGTATGGCAAGTTTTCATATTGCCAATTGTTCTATTATTAACTATCACACGAAATCTCTTTTTTCTCATTGGTTATTTACGTCAACTTTTTTCAATTTGAGATTTGTTTAGACACTTTTTTTTAACACGGAAATTTTGTTCTCCCATTACTTTCAGTACCATAATTGTGGTCCGAGTTACCTAGATCATTAGGGAACGTCGAACACGTAATTTAAGGGACGATCCTAGGCATTGGCCAGTGTCGACTAACAATAAACCCGTCACCAGTTCTATTTCAGTCATCGCACAGAGGAATCCCTGCCGCTTACCACAGAGCGTAATGTACTTTCAATATGCTTTTTTCTTCACTAACACTCGGAAAATAATGTTTACAACCCTAAATGATAAAACGAGTCTGCCGGATTGATCACTGTCCCAGTTCAGTTGGCGCGGGCCCGCTTGGCGGCGGCGTGCGCGGGCCGCGGCGGCGGCGGCGCCGGGTGCGCGGGCTCGTCGGCCGCCAGCCCCGAGCGCAGCATGTACTTGAGCTGCGGCATGTGCTGCATCACGTCGCGGATCTGCACCAGCGCGAGGCCGTTCTCGCCCGCCGCCGCGGACTTGCACTTGCCCGAATTGCGCAACACTTGCAGTTGGGTCCTGATCACCGAAAACACATTCCCCTTCAAATATTTCGTTTATGAAATCGACCGTTAAAAGTTTTGGAAGCTGATTTTTTTATTAGAGAAAATTAAAAATTTGAATTGGTCCTTTGAGCTGGGTTAAATAAATCACTCGAATTTTTATCTTGTTCGGATTTGAATATAGCATATAAACTATTGCTAAATGATAAAGATTTTCATAGGGAAATATGAGTTTATTGATAACGAGTGACTCCGATTCCGACGAAGATTGATTTTACACAAAAAAATATTTTAAATAAAGTTTCTGTGATTTCGTTTCAATTTTCGGTAATTATGCAATGTACCAAACACATCTTATAGAATAGATTATAGAAAATACCGGTCCGATTTAAAAAAAAAACACCTTCAGGAAGCTACATCATGCGCGGGTGACAGGTAAAGTGCGCGAAGGAAGTAGCGGAAAAACAACTAGTCCGAGTTACAAACTTAAAACCAAACTGCACTAGTACATATTCAAGGAAATATAGATATAGATGAAGTGGCATATGAAATGTGGTACACATGAGGTATACTGACGAGTTGGGTCGGTAGAGCGTGAGGCCGAGCGCGTCGAGCATGTCCCGGCAGGTGGCGAGCGGCACGCGCGGGGAGAAGTGGCTGGCGAGGTCCGGCAGCGTCATCAGCAGCTCCGTGTACTGGTACGGCTTGGCGTTGATGCACGGCACCAGCGTGTTCTCCACCAGCGCCTTGTGCACCTGCACGGAACATCAGACACACTATTTAAACGCACATCCCAGACACATACTATTTCAAATGTATACAGCATTGATAGATAAATCCATATACTCTCCAAGACTAATTATACAACTCGCACAAATTAACATGATACCAGGAGGCATTTTCTATTTCTCTGAAAGACGAATTGTAGTCTATTTTCGAAATGATAATACAGCTGCAAGAAACAAACACATTTTTCGATAATAAACGATGCAACAGAGGTAGAACCTGTTATTGCCTTGATCACATCTTCGCGGTTATAATTATAAGAACGATTCAAAAAATGGAATATGACCTCAGGTGTCATGGTAATTCGTACTGGGAAATCATCGTTTCCTCCTAAAGAGCAATAAATTCTATCATCAATCATAATTATACGCTTAATATTCCATCAGTTAACGACAGAAATCTATAGGCTCACCTTATACGGCGTATGGTTGCCAGTAACGTTGATATCTGGTATTGGCGTAAGCCTTTTCCGGCTGTCCACCGACAGAGAGGTTGAGTGGCCATTCATTGCTCCAGTCACTTGCGGAGGCACACTGAGCCGAACGAAAACGAAACAAATTATTTTAAAATTTCAAAACAAAATTCTCTGTATGACCATAACGTTGTTATCCTGTCATATGAAAATAAATTATGTTAAGATCCTGTATGAAACCTACTTCCTATCTGTCGAACTTATATTTCGTTTTCCTATTAACAGTCTTATATTTAGGCATTTATCTGTTAGTCTTATGTTCACGTAGTAAAAAATTCAACTAGACAACGTTCAGCAGTGTTATATATAAAAAACAAACAAACACAGTGCTAAGACAATGGCGAATGGAATAATCGCTTGTTCTGAAAACAGCTTTTATGTGATTTGCTATATAATTAAAAAACATTCTTTCTTATACTATTTTTTTCGTAAATATTACTTTTAAAACAAGTAACAAATTTAACATATGAAAAACTAAAAGCTGTTCTCGTTACATATCCCTACATTTTGATTCTAAGCGATTACAAAAAAATGCTCACTTCATAGTCGATGTGTTGGCCGAGCTCCTCACAAGAGGTGGAGGGGGTTGCTGACCCATCGCCATTGCGATCGCACTGTTTGGAAACTGAAACGAACGATAAACACAAACATTTTTTTATGTGGCACCACAAAAATTTTATTTTTAGGAACCAGTGCCAATATTCTCGCTATGTTAAAAAACGTAACAAAAGTATACTGGAAATAAAAAGAGCATTATTTGAATTTATAACGTGGTGAAATGGAAAATAACTAAGTTATTAACGCGCTAAAAAGTAGCCTACATCACTGTCCGCCCGTCTCTCAGTTGGACATGAAACTAGAATTACCAAACTTACCTATTTATAATATAGTGTGTGAACCAATGATATTTCTTTATGTTATAAGATTTCGTTCGATTTGTATATATAAGCCATGGTTATCAAGGCAAGATAAATAATCAGTTTGGATCATCATGTCCAAATTTCTAGGTTCAGTCTGCATAAACGAAAATTTACGAAGACTATATTATTGTTTTACTGTACGCACAACAACACGTCAGGTTATGACAAAATGTCAAATTTCTACAATTGATTTAGAACTCTAACCTTAATGCATTAAGGTATAAAATTAATCTGAATAATTTGTCCATTTTTTATATCTGACGTGATGTTGAATTCGTCTGATTTTCGCATCAAATATTTTTCACTAGTAGAAAAACATTTTGATGATATATAATTTTATTTACCTGCACATTCCTTTGATGTTGATTGCGGTGCTGTGGTAATGCCGCCGCGGCCGCAGCCAGAGCGGCGTTGTTGTACCGCGCTGCCGCTTGCGCTTGGGCGGCAACTTGGGCCTAATGACACAAAACAAAAATTATTTCACATAGAATTAAAAAAATTACTGTAGATATGTTTTCACATGGGATGCAATTTAGTGTGATGCTGCTTAGAGGCCATTTCAATAATAAACTTTTTTTTAATGAAGCATTAATTAATGTCAGGAAACAATTATAGACATGTAATTTCAGCACAATATCTAATTATATTTAAAAATAATTACGTTTTTTTAGTATTGAGTGGTTTATCTATACCAAGATATTTTTTTTAACTTTGGGAGTTGCACTTGACCCGGATTTGCTGCGGCGAATATTTCAAGGTGATTTTTTTTTTCATTTTATATAAGTGTTGATATTTGTTTTCTACCTGCCCTCTAACCCCTTTATGCCAGTATAGTTTTGACCAACCGCAAAACTATGATTACAGTGTATGTATAGAGCACCGTAGCTACGGATGCTTGACGAAAATGACTTTCCAAAAAGTTTCATCCTCCTTAAGAAAAAGTCATTACTGTGCCCTTGCTGGCTAGTTTCTTAATTTAGTTGTTTTTGAAAGCTGCAATGACCTTTCATGGTCTAAAAATACAACAGTACAATAGATTCGTCACCTATACTTAACTATACAGCATATGCATTTTGCAGATATATTGTTACTATTTGTAGTTGAAGAAATGACAAATACTCAGAATAAAGTTTCACCTGCATGTATGGGTCATGTTACTTTTAGCAAAACTAGGCAGTTTTATATATTTTACATATATATTAAGTAATCCATACAACCTTGGGAATGTGTGGAATTCCTAAAACTTGTAGATAACTATGATTTTTTTATATTTTCCTCAGGTATTCTATATTTATTTGTTTGGATGTTTTTCCGTCAATCACGCCGAAACAACTGAACGGATTTTGATGAAATTTAGTATACAGATAGGGTATTAGCCGACTTAGATAATAGGATACTTTTTATCCCACTAAATAGATCCCTAGGGACCACGCGGGCGAAGCCGCTGGCAAAAACCTAGTTAAACAATAAAATTTTAATCTATGGATTAAATTTTATTTAACCAGTTGAACTTTTTTTTTTAATTTTTTCTTTATCTATTTACATCTGCTATCAACCCGACAGCTTTAAAGAAATTTTGTCGTGTCACTGTTTTGTAAAAAAAGTATATACAGTGTATGTTTATACCTGCGCCAATCGCAGCACCTGTTGCGTCTGCGCCTGCGTAAGCGTCCCGGGTAGACTCCAGCCGTTAGCGAGCGCCTGCACGGCGGCGGCGGAGATGCCGGCGTGGGGCATCTGCATGGCGGTGGCGGCGGGCGAGTGCCGCGTGGTGCCGGCGCGGCGGCCGCGCGCGGGGCCCGCCCCCACGCCCATGCCCACGCCGCTGCCCACGCCCGACACCCCGCCCGGCGGCGGCGCCGGCGGTGCCCGGGTCCACTGCCCGCCACCCGACACCGACCCTGTTAACACCATCTCATTTAAAATGCAATCTCCACTAATAATCTAATAAAGCTACATGATAGGCTCCAGATTATTAACCAATTTAGTTTGAGTAATAAATATTATCAAATTGATTGTGTACAAAACAAATGGTTAATATGTGACTGCAATCAAAAATTTTAAAATGTTATGTCTGTCCTGTTGGGTGGTTAGTACTTCAATAGCGTCATTTAATTAACAGGCTGTCCTATGATCAGCCAAGTAGACGAACAATTTGTTCTGTAATATGGCTGATCAGCTAATTGATTAACTGTCCAATCATCAGCAATACATATTAGTAAGATTTAAAATAAAACAAAATAAAAATTGTTGTAGGTGATTTTAAACTAAATTTGATAACTCCTTGTTACGATTTGTAATTGATAGAAACACAGGACTGACCAAAAAGTGTTTTGCAGGATGATAGGTTAGAAATGTCATAATGATTCAACTGGAAAACTAGGCATACAATTGAAGTGTGTCATTCAACTAAAAGGCTAGTCGCCCAATTGAACAGCTGATTTACACAGTTGACTTAATTTCTGAGCATGTTGCGCTATTTGGTAGCAGTCATTTTTGTTAATTTTGCATTATTTATTTCTAAAATTGTATCAAAACTGGGTTGGAACTGAGAACATGTGTATATGTTTTCAGTTCAAAACATATTCATAATTATAGTAATTTTAATGAATAACTGCCTTATTTATTTTATATGTGACATAATAAGTGACCTTATTTATTATCTATAAATGACATAACATTTGTATACGCAGCTGCATATAAGTGTAAATCAAAATATTAGATTTCAAATTGATTAGAAAAAATAAATAGTTTTATGTATACAAAGGTGCTATTGACTGTTCACAACAACACATCAAATCACTATAAAAAGTCAAAATTTAGTTCATCAATTTTAAACTTAAAAACCAACATATAAAGGCTTAAAATTGATTGAAGATATTTCTTGAGCTTTTGATAGTTTTACATACTGAAAATGTTACTTTTAAAATAAATAGTTCTTGTTGGGATTTGAGACTCCCTAGACAATAAATAAAGGATGTGTAAAAAATTTATATATGTAAAACCAAATGTGTTTACAAATATTACAAATGTTCCGAATAAGTTAGCCTATATAACATAAGTATATGTTTTATAAATTGCATACTGTAAATTGTTCTTTAAAGAAGTGAATGAATTGGACATGGAATTTTTAGAAAAGTTCTATGTTCAATCCCAAGTAAAGTTGATTTGGAAAATGTTTTGTTTCTTAATATTGTCTAGGATTTAGGTGTTGTGGTACATTTGTTATTTCTGATTACTAGAATAGAAGTGCTTTAGCTACTAAACTTGTAACCTTGGCAATACAGGTAATTTAATCTAATATTTATTTACTGAGAACACCTTACAATACAAATCTTGTAAATACTCAAAATGAGTCAAAAATTCTCAAAGAAGATTGATTGTTCCGATTATAATAAAAAATAATATATGTTTACCTTTGGCAGATATGAGTAGCTGAGAGTCAACCACTTTGTTAGGCCAGTACTCCTCAAATTCTGTGCCAGGGGGGAAATAACTCTTAATGTCCGACAAACTTATCACAGAACATGTTTCACTTGCAAAAAGTTCATTTCTTATTCCTTGTACTTTACAACAAAATTTAAGATAAGACAAGTCCCAGCCTTTCAATTGATCAGCTTTTAATTTTAAATTGTCAGTTTCACCTTCAAAGTAGAATAGGGGAACAAACTTTTGACCATCCCTCACTGTATACGGAACCACAGATTCCTTATTTATTCTAATAAAACCACACTTGTCCTTGCTGTTGGTCGTGCCCCTCAACAACTTATTGTAACACACATCCAAAAAGTTATAGAATTCATAAGCGTCTGACAATCGCACCACTAAATCTTTCTGTGTGAAGGGTTCACGACCAAACTGACCATCACAATGTCTGTTGTTAATTTCATTCAGTAGTCGAGCTTCGATTTCTGTGATATAGTAGCTTCTGATGCAGGTGCATGAGTATATGTCCGCATGCAGGTAGTTCAGGTACTTGTTGAGGAGTTTGATCTCAACCATTCTAACCGCCACGTACTTCTCACCAGACCGGTAAATGTATGGAATGTGACATTTACCCAGCATATCCCACCCGAAGTGGCCCTTCCAGCTCGCTTCGTCAGGCGCTGGGGTCTTCTTTTCGGCGTCCGGTGCGGGTCGCGTGTCAGTAGCGGCGGGGGCACCTGGCTTTCGCGCCAAAAAATTTAAGATGCCTAACTGGCCGCCGGCACCTGGCGGGGGTACACCAACGAGGGCACCAGGCGGAGGCCTTGCGGCCGCTACCGAAGCCGCTAGTGCCTTCGCTTTGTTGGCCTCCACCATTTTCGCAGCCAACTCCCTGATTTCAGCCTCATCGGGCCTCTCTGTCTTCACCTTGACCATCGTCGTGTCAGTCATGTTTCCGGCACTCGATGTAGTAACAAGGTAACCTTCAAAACACCAGGTACAGAGATGTGTTTATACGCATCACACACAAGGATGACCCAGGACTACATCCTGGCAACGAATCACAGGCACTTCCAGATCTTAATATACGTAAACAAACACACATAACGTGCGTGACATATACTTATCAATTCTCACTTTGACAGATTGCCGTAATTTATTTATTTGTTATCATTATCACTGATTATCATATAGTTAATGCAATTTCTTCAAACACTAACTGTAACCTTGCACTCCAACCAGTCCCACGACGACATCCAAGAGATGAAGTTGGAATTCAATAAGTTTGTTTGACACCAACTTCCATTAACAATTTTTAAAGACGTTTTTCGCACCTTAATTTATTTTTAATATTCCAAAAATTAAATGCACTCTGATAAAATTCTAATTAAGTTAACCACGCTATGGTAGGTTTGGAACACGAAACCCAAATTTTGTGTTCTGTTCAGGGAAATGCCCAATACCGTTGTGTAGTCTCGTGGGGAGTGCGCATTAATTCAGTACATTTTTCACCTTTTGGTGACTCAGCATCGACAAAATGGCCGCCAACTAGGTTCTGTTGGCCAATCGAGCTATTGCTAGCGATCATACATACCTACAAAAGTTCTATCAAGATGACGTAGCCGCACTCCCCACGAGACTACTTCTCAAGGACTTTTATTTAAATTATTTTTTTCCTATTCCTCCTTTAGAAAACAATACTAAAATTATGTGAAAATGGAATCCAAAAATAATATTTATTCTGAGAGAGATTACTCACATCAAATAGATAAAAATATTTACTTCGATATTAACCTAATAATAATAAATGAATGTACTTTTACAAAGTAGTCACTATGAGTAGTCTCGCTACACGCTCTTTGCATACGTTAGACACCAGTAATCAGTTCGTTTAAGAAAATTCAACCTTATCACCAGTCGATAAGCTTGTAGCGCAAATAATGAATTAAATTTTGACCTCTATAATCCTATGTAGCGAGACTCGCCGACGCGCGCATTCCTCGAACAATAATCCCCTACTTGACAGAACGAGATAGCGATATCTTAAAAAGTAATGTCAAATGTTTAGGTATTTACTATGAACAATAAGGTAGGTAGGTATAATGCAATTACAAACTTACGTAAGTACTCTAACCTACTTATGACAGGTAGGTACGTATTATACCTATTAGTTTTTTTTATTGTAGGTCTATGTTTAGATAATTTCTGGATAATAGTTTGTAAAGTTGTTTTAAAATTAATAGTCGGTAGGTAATATAAAACTTTACAATTAAGTTAATCTATTTCCAGCATGATACTTTTTAAGTTAGATCGATTACCTATTATTAATAAAGGGTTTATTGTAGTAGTTGATTATTTTAATTTGGTTTTTGCTTTAATTACGATATATTACAATAATAAGCCAAATTGCATACTTATGTTTAAAAGAACATTATTTAATTTTATGAATGCTATTGAAACAACAGCAAAGATAACACAGATGAAACGGGTTTTCGATTAGGGCTGCCAATCAGTAAACATGAAAAAAAAACTTAAATCATAGTTATCATAAGGTAAAATTTTTCATTGTATGCCTTCCATTATACCCATTTGTATGATTAGATCATCTTATTCAATTTTTACATTTCCATAACAAAGTGATAACACCAATATCAAGTGCACGAGGGGTGATTCAAGCCAGCCAGAGACATTAAAATTTTCTCGTAGCTGGAAGAGGATTCCGTAAACGAGAAACCGTGAGCCGCCTCGCCCAGTTAGCGAAGGTTGTTGGATAGTCACGAACGTCATCGCTCCCCACATCGTCCTGTGATGATGTCCTGTGGTAGAGAGCAGTTGTAAAAAAAACAGTCACAAGCTGAGGTCCTGGAATAAACTATTCAATTTTCATAACATCTAATGTTGTATAGCCTTGAGGCTTACCTTTCAGTGGTGAACTAACGGGGGCGGGGGGCGGTCCGCCCCGGGCCTTTTGTCCTGGGGGGCCTCAAATGGCTGCAAGTTCCCTTGATCAAATCATAAATTGTGGTTGTACTGCCCATGATTCTTATGTTTATTTTCGTAGTTTAAGCAGGGGGGTTTGTAAAGTAATTTAGTGAGGGGCCTTCATATCTATTGTAACATTTTTTCAAACTTATTCTTGCTTAAGATCTCAAAAATGACCATAGCTATAGGTAGGCTACCAATATTATGAAAGAATTAGTTATTAAGAAGTTTTCTTCTGAAATACTGGTCCGGGATCCTAAAACCTACGAGAAGGTACATCATTCATATGCGGGTAATATAGGATAGGCTTTATAGGTAAAATAAAGTATGTTTAGATATTTTATGTAGGTATTCTTAAAAATATTGAGTAGTCGGCAGCTCGGAATTTCACCCGTTGTGATCCGGACCCTGTTCTAGTATACATATAGAAATGTTGCTATACTTTACTGTAAATAAGCAAACCAAAAATATATAAACAAAGATATTTTTCAATAACACATAGCATTATAGTATATAAATTAGCAAGTAAAAAAATTGCACGCAATTACTAATCGTATTTCATAGATGTTACTTCTCACTAGCGATTGTTTGCTCTACTGGCAGCCCTGTTAACTAACAGACAGCACAGGAAAAATCAAACGAAGGTTACTCCACTCTACATTCAAGCTTATAAGATTACTATTATTCTATGTTTAATAGATACTTGTCTAGTGTGCCACGTCTTTATTTAGGTATCTATTAATTGTATTGAGTGTGCAACAACACGCATTTCGGTAGTTTGCGACTTTATGTCATTACTACATAGTATAAAATAAACGCTCGCACGCACGATAGGGATATAGGGACAGATAAAAGTCGCTTTATCTGTTCCTATATCCCTATGTATGCTATGTATTTTGATGCGGTTTTTTTTCATAGATAGGATGATTCAAAAGGAAGGTTTTTATGTATAATACAAGACCGCGCGGGTGAAGCCGTTGGCGGAAAGCTAGTAATATGTAATACGAAAAAAATAATTCAAAGAAAGTATTGTATATATATATTTGTATATATTGTAACCAGCTTAGTGAGTGGAAATTGAACAAAAAAAGTAATATGCTGAATTTTGGTCTGAGTGATGAACATACGAGCTGTCTTATCTTTTAAAAGCGATGCCTTCATGCGGACCTTCATCTTAAACCTACATGCGGAAGTTAAATAAAGAGATGTAGTCGGGCTGTTTAAGGTCTTGTTAAAGTAATTTCCTTTCTCCAAGGTAAATACATATATAGATATTGGTAAATTTTGAAACAAATTATTATAATAAATAATAATAATCCCTTTATTTCGCTCACAATAGCTACATACGATCTTCAAACATGTAATTATTGGCCAAGAAGAGTCGGATTCGGGCATAACAGATCCTTGCAATTAGTAAACTTTGAAAAACCGGTCAAGTGCGAGTCGGAAACATTTGTCCACAATCAATTTGAAATGTGTGATTTCAATATACGCGCCTTCTTAATCCTATTTTAATATTATAAATGTGAAAGTTTCTTTGTTTGGATGTTTGTCCGTCAATCCGCCGAAACTACGGAACGGATTTTCGCTTGCCCTTTTCCCAATTAATTATTATTTATGGTAGACGCAATATGCTTTTTTTTTTCTAAAATACAGAAGTAGTAAGTAGACAAAAAAATGCATAATATCTAGAATTGAGAAAACCGTTGAGACGCCGGTTTCAAGGTGTCGCTATCTCTGAGGTCCCGGGTTCGATTCCCGGTCGGGTCAATGTAGAAAATGAACTTTTCTATATTGACTCGGGTCTGGGTGTTGTGGTACCTTCGTTGTCTCAGATACTCCATAATACGGGGGCTTTAGCTACTCATCATGGAATCTGAGCAATGTATGTGATGTTGTTAAATATTTATTTATTTATTATACCGTTAAGATTTTGTACTACCTAATGCTAAATCTGTAGAGCATGAGAAATAAATACCCATCCGTTGTTGCGAAGAAGGGAACTCTAGAAGCAAAGGTCATTGCAGCACCGTAACCTATGATCAAAAACCATATTCCTCGTTTTCCATGCCAAAAAATGTTATTGAGTTTTTATGATAGAATTCTGAGGTACAGTTGGCATTAGGAATGCGACGCGAGGGTGCGACCATGAAGTTCTAGGTTCCAAAATTTCCCCCATCGATCTTAAGACTGTTTAAAATTGATTTCAGAAATTTGGCATCAGGAATAAGGTAGGATTCTAATGATTAACATAATTTTTTGTTCCAATGGTTTTGGAGCCTATTCAGTGCAAAATAAAAAAACAAGGTTTAGCGTTGCAGTAAATTTACACTGTGACTGCACTTAGTATTAGTCAAAAATCAATTTTATTAAACCGAGACTAAGCAAAGGTTAACCTAGTACGAGTTTCTACTAGAGTAATATATGCTCCCAGAAAGTGATAGGTTTGCTTATTCTCTGTATTATATGAATTTGAAATAATACTAAAATTGCAATTTTAGCGTTAATTTACTCTGAAGTTAAACATTGTTTATTAATAGCACTGTAGCTGTTTACCCACGACTTCCCACGCGTAAATTATACCCTATGTCAACACCGTATGATGTAGCTACCCATAAGTGAAAGAATTTTTAAAATTGGTCCAGTCCACAGAAATATATCTAGTGTCCAGTCAAATCTTTCCTCTATTAATATACATCTATAGAAAACTCGATAGGAGGACTTACTCGCTATTTATAGCTATATTGTAGTCACATGATCACATCACCATTAGATATTGTAACTATAATCGTGTCCTAAAAATAGACATTACATAATATGCTGTTAGTTTAAAAATAGCGCGGCACTCGAAAGTAGCAGATTGAAGAAGGTGATGTCTCAGGTGATGTGGTGATGGAGTCAAATCCTGTTCAATAATATTTAAAGTTAATTGGTTAATTAGGTAAAAATTCAGAATTTTTGAATGAATA